CCCTATCTAGCCTGGAACTACATAACCCAGGCTGGCCCCCCAACTTGTGGCAACCCTCCTGCCTCAGCCTCCCAAGTGCTGGGATTACGGGCGTGTGCCACCACACCCAGCTTGGTGCTTACTCTTAACTTATTACCTCAGATGCTGACCCCAAAGTTGATCTTAGTATTTTCTTTAAAAACTTCCAAAGCATCCCCGCGCCAACACTCACACCAACCGCCTCTCAGCAAGTGGGCACTGGGTCTCTAGGTCCTGCCACCCTGTGAGTCTCAGCCCTGCTAACATGGGAGCAGCCCAGGGAGCTCTCGCCATGTAGGACATGGACATTGTGCCACCAACGGTAGCCAACAGTAACTGTCTGTGTGTCCCTGTGCCTCCGCTGTCTGCAGGTGGCTCCCCTCCTTTCACTGTCTTCCTAGAATGAGGCAGACCCTTCAGAACAGCCAAGGGGACTGGCCAATGACCTGAGGCTCACTGCCACTGTTTCCACCCAAGGATCCTCGCAGAATGCTCTGACGAAGCCTGTTTCCTTGGCAGCGGGGATGGCAGTATTGTCTTCTACCAAATCATAGCTGCTACCTCCCAAGTCCCCACATGATGGCACCTGCCTTTTTAAGACCCCAACCATGGCACATGGCTCTGGCTCTAGCCAAACCTACACCAGCATCTGCTGGAAGGTACACTTAGCAAGTCGTTCACAGTGGCATCCCACAACCTATGTCACCTTAAACACCTCCCTCCCCCCAACGCAGCAAGCTTTTTATGCCTTTCCTGTGTAACACCACAAATAAAAGATATTCTGATTATTTGACTACGTGTGTGTGTGTGTGTGTGTGTGTGTGTGTGTGTGTGAGAGAGAGAGAGAGAGAGAGAGAGAGAGAGAGAGAGAGAGAGAGAGAGAGAGAGAGAGGTGCTCGTGTGTATAATGGTCTGGAATTTTGCCGGTTAGGCTGGCCAGCCAACCCCAGAGATCCACCTATCTTAGCATGTGCATGTCTCTGGGCAAATCTGGTCCCTGTCTGTATTTTATCACTCATTTCTACAGAAATATCTTGGGAATCACACATCTGAGTGAGGAGGCTCTATGCCCTTCAAGTACATTTCCAAGGTCACTTTGGTCCCCAAATGGTTTCCAACTCCACTCTCAGCATTTGAAAGGAACACAGCTTGGTCACTGACAAGCTCTGGAATCTACCTAGGATGTGGCCTTGTTGGAGGGGGATTTGCTACTGGGAGCAGGCTTCAAGGTCTTAAAGGCTCATGGGATTCTTGGTCCTTTTAGTGTTTATGGATCAAGCTGTGAGCTCTCGGCTGTTCCTTCACACCACACCATGGACCCCCCCCCCCCCCGAAACAATGAGGCCATTCCATCACACCACACATGGACTCCCCCCCTGAAACGATAAGGCCGTTCAGTCACACCACACCATGGACTCCCCCCGCCCCTGAAACGATAAGGCTGTTCCATCACACCACACCATGGACTCCCCCCCCCCTCTGAAACAATAAGCCAAATTAAATGCTTTTTCATAAATTGCCTTAGTGATGGTGTTTTGTCACAGCAATAGAAACATAGCTAACACGGTGTTCTTTGGGAGGATGGAATGCAAGGACTGGAGGCCCCATTGTGAAGCCGCACAGTCCTCCCTGGCTCCAAACATACCCTGATAGTCCCCTGCCCCAACACCTCCTGCAGATAAACTTCTGCCAAATGCAGGAGTGACAGGAAGTGCTCTGTGTCCCTTACAAGGCCAAAGTCCAAGCGCAGGATGGGGTGGAGGCAGCTGGGTAGATTTGGGTACCATGGTGGTGCCCTAGCATGGCGGTGATTCCTACAGAGCCATTTGCTCCCCTGAGAGACAGACCCAGTCTATCCCTGTGATGGGACATGGTGGGAAGGCCCTGAGCATCCCTAGGGATTTAATATCTCCTTTTTCCAGGAGGAGCTATACCAGGGATTATGTGACTCCCCACAGGGAGAAACGGATTGAGACATGAATCAAGAAATGAGGGCTTTGGGGGGAGGGGGAGGGAAATGGGAGGCTGGGAGGAGGCGGAAACTTTTTTTCTTATTCTCAATAAAAAAAAAGAAAGAAAGAAAAAAAAAAAAAGAAATGAGGGCTGCAGAATTATTGTCCTGGGGCCAGAAGAGAGCCCCCTATAAGACAGGAGAAACATTCGAGACAAAAACCACTCCAGCCAGCAGAGTGCAGCCTAGGACCTGCAGATCAATTGCATTTGCTCCTAGAGGCTCCACCTCCCCTTCAGTCTAGGGAGAGCAGGATGCGGAGAGTGTTTGGCTTGAGAGCGCACTGGGCTCATGCTAGCTACCAACACACAGCAGCCTGAGAGGCCCTTGGCAATCTGTGAGCCTCCAGTACTCACCGCAGGATGAATAGACAGGCATGCTTCTAGGACTTCCTCTGAGGGGCAAGGCAGCAGGTTCCAGGTGCAGTAAGCTGAAACACGTAAGCCCTGCAGACAAGTCAGTAACCTGACGGGAAGCCTGGGCCCATCTCCAAGACAAGCATCCAGGGACTTTGTGTGTTGGTGTGCCCTGTGCACTCTGCCTGAGTTGACTGTGAGGCCCGGGAGAACCCGGGTAGGAAGGACAAGGGGTTGCATGCTGTGGAGGCTTGAAGAGCAGTGACACCAGCCAAGGGTGCGCAGCACAGACAGGAAGTGTTGCCGGGACCACCCCTCCTCTGGCTGCTGCCAGTGTACCTTCAAGGGACACAAATGCCTGAAGAAAGGACCCCACACCCAGCTAAGGTCTCTGGGTTCCTGGGTCTCTCAGAGATCTGTGGTCATCCCTCCAGTGGTGGCTCTGCACAGTTGGGGACCACCGTCAGGAACAAGGACCTGATGAGGACAGTCTCTCCCTGTCTCTAGAGCGTCCACAAAACACAGACAGTAAGACTACGTAGTAGGCAAAGTGGGAGCCGGGCCCTGATCTGAGACTGTCTCCTGTCAGCGGCTCTCCCTACACTAGGGAGATGGGCAGACATGACACGCTTTTTAAAATGCTGGTCCCAGGACCTGAGGAAATGGGGGCTCGAGTCAGGCAGCAGCCAAAAATTGACATAGCTAACCCCAAACTTCCCTGACCTGTGTGTGACCCGTTCTTCGCAGGCAGTGGGAAACACTAGAGCTGCCCCTCTGTTTGAGGGCACCTTGAAACCTGAGTGAAATGCCAAACCACAGGCTTTTAAGGCCCCTGACGACAGCCCAGGTTCCTGGCCTGCAGCGCACAACGCCTGTCTGCGCTCTATGCACCACCATACAGTTCCCGAGCTTCGGGCAAGGGGCTGGAGGTTGAAACACACAAACACACAAACAGAGAGACAGAGACACGTACCTCTAGTCACTCACTGGTAAGAGGCCCCCTATTCAACAGCAACATGGAGGCTTATATACCCAACAGTCAGGTGGGCCCGCAGGTGAAAACCTTTATCCTCTGATCCTCAAGGCCAAGGCAACACGTGCTCGTGAAGCAGAGCTGGTAAACAACTTTGACACAGCTTTCAGTAACTCAAATCAGATGGAAAGTAAAGATCTCTAGCAGGGAAGAGCAGCTGGAGGCTAGGACCCCAAATGGTCCCAACACTGGCTCCTGGGGCCACCACATTCAGGCAAAGGTAAAGAAGAATGCTCAGGGGCTGGTCCTCAGACCATTCCCACGTCCTGCCTTCATCCACGCTCTCCACAAACACAAGCCACCCACTGGGGAACTCCTACAACTGGTGGCTCCCTAGAGAAACACAAGCCATGTGACCCCGTAAATAAGACCCAAGGACCTGGTTCCCCATGGAAGACCAAGGCTGATGTACAAAGTTCCCAGGAAACACTGCTCAGAAGAGGGTGCTGGGGTTCGGGTCAAGAGCTCGTGCCGTTTCATTTTTCCTGACAAGACATCACCAGGGAGCTGAGAGTGGGGGAATACAGGCTGCTGGGCAGGCATTTGACAAATTAACTGTCCCTCACCCAGTTCTAGAGCAGGACAGTCAAAGGAGCCATGGCTACTCTTACTTCTAGAGCCGGGAATACAGGTGGCACACTCAAGTGGAACTGGCATCTGTCCCTGAACATGCAATCATTCAAGGAATGGTTCCTCAGCTGGGACTCAAGTCAGAGAATGCTGGGAAGAAGAGGTCCTGGGAATTTACCCACTCTTTCAGAACCTCAAACACGAACTGCAAACATGTCATGTCACAACAGTTTCACTCGGTGAAGTGTCAAAGAGCGGCCCCAGGGTCTCTGAGTCACACACTTCCCAGATGTCACTGGTCAAGATACAGCTCACAGATAGGAAGTATAGCTTCTGCCCCTACTGGGGTGCTTCAGACACTCCGGGGAAAGTGAACTCATCCACTCTGTTTTTAGCAAGCTACTGTGAAAGGGAAGGTAGGGCTCTAGGATCCCGACTCCAGCACGAGGAAGCCTTGGCCTTGGCGGTAATGATCCATCCCACACTCAGTGGCAACACTGTATCTCTTCTGAAAGACGCAGGCTTCTCAGGGCCAGCCACTCAGGCCTGCACCAGCTGTTGGCAAAGCCGCCCACATATCTGACAAGGGCAGCTCTCTCCGCCTCATAGAGCCCAAGTTCCTGCCTGTAGCTCTCAACAAATTGTCTAAGAACACAGGCGCTATTGTCTCCCACACTTGCCGTCAGCTTCTCGAAGAGCAGCCACCTCACCACCCACAGGAAAACCACAAAGGGATTTTGACTTGGAATTGAGGGAGGGGGGCTTCAGACCAGATCAAGATCAAGGCTGTGAGTGTAACCATAACTGTGGTTCACGCCGTCCAGGCAGCTTGGTAAAAGGCTCATCCAAATACCCTGGAATTTTTTGAGCCTGGAATTTGCAAGGACTGAACAAAACTTTAAAGAGAGAGACTCACTGCCATAATTTAATGCCAGGTTCATGGCCACCGTCCCCACTCCCAGAATCAAGGAATCTCCTGGGGTTCAAATAAAGCTAAACACTCCTGATAACAAAGTTTTTCCTCAAATTCTTTTTAATAACATGTAGCCCACCCGGGGTTCACCAGGTATAAAAACAGCCATTCCTGATTTTGTATAAATCAACCACGGAGACTCGGCATCAGAATATATCAAGTACAGACATCAAACGGGAAACCCCAGAGAGCAGACATGGTGCAGGAGGCAGTGACCGTGAGAGTCAAGCCCACTGCAAGGCAGCTCCCAAGACGGCAAGCTGCACAACGGTGGTTGATATGCACGGGGCAGTAGACAAGGCAGCACCGGGTTGGCTCCACGGAGGGTTTCGGTCCCACTTTCCTGATGCCCAGAGGTTGCTGGGGACCCTGGCCTGTAGTAGCCGCTGGTGGGCATTTCCACCCAGCGCCCTCTATACACACTGTCCTGTGGAACTTCTGAGTTCGGTAGCTCCCACACACGCCAGGGGACAGGAGGGGGGGGGGGCCTCAGCCATCAGGTGCAGCACCCAGACCTAGTCCGCTTGGGCGTTTTGCAGCTGGCTATATCCACAATCTGGGACGGCTCCTCAGCCCTCTGCCGGGCGATCATGGGCACCACCAGGTCAAACAAGGTCTCAAAGAGGAGGTCCACGTTGTGCCCGGTTTTGGCGCTGGTTTCGAAGCACATCCGCTCGGCGGCTGGCATCTCCCCCTCGTCCAGCATCTTGTATTTCAGAATCTTCTTGTAAAGGGCCATAGCATCCTCTGGTTGCACCTGCCTGGGTACACTGGAGGAGACACAGCTACCCCCTGCCTTCCCAGAGGCCTCTCCTTCCTTCTTCCCACCCTCTGGGGCCCGCTCCATGGCCAGGTCCACTTTGTTTCCCACGATGGCAAACAAGCAGTCGTTGTTGGCCGTTTCTGTCAGGCCCAGGAACCTGTCCTCCAGCTCCAGCAGACTCTGCCGGTGGTTCACATCATATGTCAGGATGACAGCGGCCGCCCCCCGGCAGTACATGGAGCCCAGGCCATGGAACTGCTCCCGCCCTGGCAGGAAGCAAACAGAGAGAGACGGTTATTCATCTCAGGATACACCCACCATGAACGACCCTGTGGGCAGGCTCCCCATCCTGACCCCTCCCAAGGATTTAGGATCCCAGGGCAGAGGACTGACACACTAATGGCCAGATAAATAAAGCTGCTCCAGGTGGCCAGTCAGGACTCCATGCCCTGCTAAAGCTGGTCCAGGTGACTGAGCAAGGCCCCGTGTCCAGTTAAGGCTGGGTTCTCCCAGACACCCCAGCAGTCCTCACGCCATCTAACAACACAACACTGTCAGTATTCGGGACGAGGGACATACAGGTACCTCCTGGTCAGAGGGTAGCTGCCTGTTCTTACTTTAAAACAAGATGATTTGAGGTCCTGAGTTCAAATCCCACACACATGTAAAAAGCTACATACAGTCAGGCATGGTGGATGTCGTTTAACCCTCAGGAGCACTTGAGAGGCAGTGTAGGGTAGATCTCCGGGAGTTCTGAGATAGCACTGAGACCCTGCCTCAAAAAATAAAAACCAGACATGGCCACATGCATACCCATAAACCTAGCCCTGGGGTGAGGAGAAAGGAGAGACACCATGGCTTGTAACCCCTAGCCTAGCTCCAGATTCAGTGACAGACACCCATCTCCAGGGACTAAGACGAACAGTGACAGAGTAGGTCACTGAGTGTCCTATTCTGACCTCTGCGTGAGCATGGGTCCACCACCTTTATAAAACACACACCGTGCACATGCACACATACATGTGCGCGCACGTGTGCACACACATGTGTGCATACATGCAGAGTCACACACACATACACATGTACATACATGCACACATACACGCATGCACAGGGAAAAAAGGAAAACTGTGCTTAAACACGAGGCTGCCAGGACTTGAGAGATGCTTCAGAGGCCAAGAGCACTGGTGCTCTTGCAGAGGACCTGGGTTCAATTCCCAGCATCCACATGAGGGTTCACAATTGTCTGTAACTCTGTTCCTGAGGATCTGATGCCCTCTTTTATCCCCTGCACAAGTGGCGCACAGGTATACATGTAGGCAGAAAACACCTTTACACATAAAAATAAAAAATTTAAAAACACAGTACTACCCACATGGGTCTTAGTTGTGTGTGTGTGTATCTGTGTTTGTGTCTGTGTGTATCTGTGTCTGTGTTGTGGTGTGTGTGTTTCTGTGTGTGTCTATATGTATATGTGTCTGTGTGTGTGTCTGTGTTGTCTATGTGTGTATGTGTCTGTGTGTGTCTATGTGTGTGTATGTGTCTGTGTCTATGTGTGTGTCTATGTGTGTATGTGTCTGTGTGTGTCTATGTGTGTGTCTGTGTGTGTATGTGTCTATGTGTGTGTGTGTAATGCTGAGAATGTGATGTAAGCACCTGCCACTGAGCCACAGCCCCATCATGGGTCTCTGTGTATGTGTGTGTCTATGTATGAGTCTGTGTGTGTGTGTGCGTGTGTGTGTGTGTGTAGTGCTGAGAGTGTGATGTAAGCACCTGTCACTGTCGTGGGTCTCTGTCACACTCTGAGGTGTCACCAGCCACGTCTGATTCGTAGGGAACGTGATGGTTTGTTCTCGTGGGGTGTGGACCTCATCCATCCGCAGCTCAGGAGTGTTCTCACATCTGCAGCGTGTCTGCTCTGGCATGGGGACACGGACCTAGGAAGCAGCCGTGCGAGGGCAGGGAAAGCCCCTGCACAGGACGCTGCACTCCGTTGCCACAAAGACCAGCAGTGAGCTGCAGAAGTGCTCCTGGGGTGTCTTCAGACAGGATGGATGCCTTCCATCCCACAGGCAACTGCTGCAAATAACACCAGCACTGCAACTGCCTCGAAAGCCACGACGGCTGGTCCGCCTGCTGGTGGGTCGCATTACTGGACAGTTTGTGCTGTCAACTTGACAGCGTCTAGGATCACCTAGGAGATGGACCTCTTGGCACTCCTGCATAAATGCAATATTAATTGCAATATTAATTGGGATGGGAAAACCCAGCTGCTGTGGTGGTCACCCCCTGGCTGGGATCCTGTAGGGTATAAATGGAGAGGGAGTTGCCTCCAACCACAAGCCCTGCTTCCGTGACTCCCCACCAAGACAGACTGCACCTGGAGCTGTGAGCTGAAATGACCCTGCACCCCTTAAGTGGCTCTTGTCGGAGTATCTTACCACATAGGAAAAGAAATGCAGAATTACATGCTGGCAGCTAACTACACACCAGGGTAAACATGGTCCAACTGTACCGTTTTTTGTTTGGTTTTGGTTTTTGTTTTAAGACAGGGTCTCACCTTGTATCTATCCCTGGTTTTGCCTGCAAATTGCTATGCAGACCAGGCTGCCTTTGAACTCATGGAGATCGGCTGCCTCTGCCTCCCAATGCTACTTCACCAAGGTTAATCATCATCTTTAAACATGGCAGCGTAGCTGGCAGCTTTGTCTGTGGCTAATGCATTTTAGCCTTTTGTCTGAGCAAGGGCTGGGCTTATCCATCCACTGAGATGGTGAAGGTTTCATGGAATACGAAATGAGGGTGTCCTGGGCCTGCTTTCCACCACTACCATCTTCAGCCAGATGCCATCTTCAGTAATTCTGAAATGGCCGCATTCCGACACAGGGTACTTAACACCCAGCCCAACAATGCTGTCCTTTGAATGTGTGGCTTTTGTCCCACTGCAGAGTCTGCAACACTGATAAGACAGACTTTGCTTACCAAAGAGAAGCGTTCCACCTAACACACACATGCATGCACACACACATAAATGTGTGTGCGTACAAACACACATGTATATACAACACACCCAAAAACATACACACATGCACACAAATATATACACAAACACATATGCAAACACGCACACACCCCAGGCATCTCTCAGCACAACCTTCCAGGATCATGAGGTTTTCAACTGTGACAACAGTATCCGTTCAGCCACCAGATTTCACAAGAGATTGACTACAAGGACACAGAGTGGTGATATTCCACCAGCCCTGAAAGAATTTTTTTCAAGTCTCTGTGACATAGTTCACTCAGGACAAAGAAAGAACTGTATTAACACCCACGCCCCAAACGGCTTTCTGTCCCAGATAAACTGATTTGAAGCTCCGTGTGGTGGCACACGCCTGCCGTCCCAGCACTCAGCAGGAGCAGGAGGTTTCAAGTTACAGGTTAACCTGGGCTACACAGCAAGACTCTGTCCGGGTAGGGGGGCGGGGAAGATTTGCCTTTTGAAAAGTAAATGGTAATTACACAAAAATAAAGATCATAAACACTGAACGAAATAGGAGATGTGAAACCCCAAATGAAGCAGAGCAGAGAGCCAAACGGTGCTTGCCGTATTATGACCAGCTGGTAATGACGTCAGCCAATCAGGTGCAGAATTTACACCAGCTGAAGAACTTGCTAGCTAGTCTTCAAGCTCAAATCTGCATGTAGCTCGGCTGGGCAGTGGTGCACACTTTTAATCCCAGTATACGGGAGGCAGAGGCAGGTAGATCTCTGTGAGTTTGAGGCCACCCTGGTCTACAAAGTGAGGTGCAGGACAGCCAGAGCTATTACACAGAGAAACCCTGTCTTGGGGGTGGGGGGCGGGCAGAGAATCTGCAGCTCTGAGTTGCTAATGGGATTCACAGGCTGCACGGATGTGGGTGGGCACTGACAATAATAAGACGGTCCTAGCTAAAGGTAGCAGAGACGAAGAGAGGAGGATCCCAGGCATTGAGACAACGCAGAGAAATGGATGTCAAGAGGACCTCTCTCCTGGACTGACTTTTCAAACTCACCTTGTCTTTATATGTAACACTGTATGTATCCCAGAACTTGTACACAAGTCAGGTGGGCTTAAACAGGTCCTGAGACCATCCCCCTGGTAACGTAGGTGTTTAATCCTCTCGCGCCCTCCCTCCTTCCCACGTTGGATTCCTGGGTCCTTCACTAAGGTGTTTGACTTCCCTGAGAATTGAGTTAACACCAAGGAACTACAGGCAGTGTGTTATGGCTCCTCTCAGAACTCTGGCACTGGCAGCCAGAATGTCTTCCTGGGGATCCCAAAATCCACACAGAAAGTCCCTGTGAGTCTGAAAGCCTCTTAGCACTGAGTCTAAGTTTCCCGTTGATGAAATCCGAATAGCACCTGTCTGTTAAGGGGTTGGTTGAGAAAATGAGAATGACTTCATCCTTGTAAACAGCTCAGCCCTGCACCTAGCACGTGGTCAATAAATCATGAGTCCCGGCCTCCCACTCAGCCCTCATGGAGAACACGCTTGTCCTGCTCTAGTCTCTCCGGCTACATCTGCAAACTCCCCCAGGCTTGCTGCCCACGTGGCAGCTGACCCACACCCTGCCGTCTCCCTGATTCTTGAGAATGACCTTCTCCCTAATCCTGGCACTTCCCTGACTGGCTGTTAGACCGCAGTTAAAAATGGCCCAGAGGCGAAAGTGGGGAAAACGGAAGTCAACGGCCTGCAGTAACCCGGCTCAGCTACTGGGGCTCTGAAAACAGCCCAGTCACTTTCGACTACATTCTCCCCAAGCCAAACAGCCCTTGAGTCCAAATGTCTGTGGTTTTTATTTCCATATTCCGCATCACCGAATGGATTGGTATGTCTGGCAGGAATCATGTACAACCCTGCCCACACATTCTCACTGAGTGGGGGTAGGAGGCCAGCGCTTTTAAAACTACTGATACTCAGACCCTAGATCCACATGGATCAGGAGATAAGTGCAGTGTGCAGCCAGGACTGAGGTCACCAACCTGGGCCCCATTACCCAGAACCATAGAAAACAAACACATTAAAAAAAAAATAGCTGGCTGAAACGAAAAACTCAGATGAATGCTATAAGCTCCATGCAAGCCCAGAGAAAGGGAATTTGTGCAAGCAAGCTCTGCCACATGCATCCCTGCGGCCCATTGGGCGGGAGCTGCAAGAACACCCCTGTGATGTTCTTGCAAAAAAGATACGGAAAAGGGGCAAGGAAGCAGAGCTGGGGACAAGGA